CCCGCCCACTAGCACAGGTCATGTGTAACTCTATCGACCAAAACTGGGACAGAATTATTTTATGCAATGTTTTGGTGATTATCAAGAGTCATTTTAATATATATGATTAGAGATTTATATGTCATATAGTTTTATTCCGTTTGAAATTGAGACATAGTTGATTGATTAATACTCCCTCCGACCTACAATAAGTGATTTTTTGGCCTTTTTTTGTGGTCCAAAAAATCTGATTTTTCCAGATTTCAAGAATGAATTAATTATGTTTTTCTTACATTGCCCATGGAGTAAATAGTGTTGGAGTATGTGTTAGGAGTATTTATGTAAAGAGATAGTAAAGGTTAATATGGCCAACTTCATTACTAATTAATGTTAAAAAGTAAATTTCTTTATCTGTATGAAAACAGTCAAATAATCACTTATTGTGGACCGGAGGGAGTACTTCCTTTTCAGCATTGCATTTTGAGCATATATACTGTTTCCAACAATAGACATAATCCTAGTAAAAGATTGCAATATATTGAAACAGGTTGGATTATTGAACATAGATGGATATTATGATTGCTTGCTTGGATTATTTGACAAAGGTGTAGAAGAAGGATTTATTAAACCTTCAGCCAGAAATATTGTCATTTCAGCTTCAACAGCCAAAGAGCTTTTAGAAAAGATGGAGGTACTTTCTTTAACAATGCTCCCAAAATCTTATATCATATAACTATATTTCAACAAGAAGATAATAATAAAGTAGGTGAAACTATGAGAGACCAGGGCTCAAATTTCATCTGCCTAAGTTTTGGTGGGCAGAGTTACTTGGTTATGTTGCTCGAACTCTTTAAAATTATTGCGGGGTGCATGTCGGATCCTCCAAAAGTAAGTCCATTTTGGAGGATCTGACATAAGTATGGCTGCATTTTTGGAGAGCCCGAGCAACATAATTACGTGATACTTATATTGATGGGAGTGGAACAGCTGAGGTGTGTGCAAGCTGGTCCCAACACCAGCCTTATAAATAAAATACATAGTCAGTACTTAGATAGAGGTCTCACAAAGAAAAAGAGAACAGAAAAAGGATATTGGTCAGTTGAGAAACACCAGAGAAGTTTTAGGAAGAGAAACAAAACCAACAAAGTTGAACTATCACAAGGGTTATGACCTATAATAGCAAGATTGGCTACAAAGTAACAAGTTTATTACAGCAACAGCCCAGTGAAATCCCACACGTGGAGTTTGAGACGGTAGTGTGTACGCAGATCTTACCCCTACTCCGGAGGAGTAGAAAGGCTGTTTCTGATAGACCCTCGGCACAATAAGATGAAAACAAAGTAACAAGGTTATTAATTCAGTAAAAAGTTTATTAATGTTGCTGTTCCCTTTTGCAGGATTATGCACCAATACACAATCAAGTAGCACCAAGCAGGTGTTGGAACACTAGTGGTGGATCAGTGACAAGAAGTTCATAATTTCTGGCTGGAGTTTGTCATATTACCCAAGTGTGAAGATTGTATTTTCCATTGTTTGACAGACACTTTGTAATTTACCACTCACATGAAAATTCCAAGTGAAAAGGAACACACAAAAGAAAGAATACTTTGGTTTTGAATAGCAAAAAATGTTGTAAATTTGGTAAAAGAACATTGATTTGTTTTGTATGGGATGAGATTCAACAAAGCTGGAACTGGATTGCATTTTGAAACAAACCTATGATCTAGATCTCATTTAACAAGAGTCAACACCCTCATTCAAATAGGCAAATGAATTACTTTTCCTATAAACCAATACATGCACATGAATATACAAGAAATAACTTGAAGTTTAAACTGGTACTTCAGCTAATTTTCAGTATTTCAGTTCTTGAACATTATGCTAAAGAAGTCGAGCTTCAATATCCGTCCTTGGGAAAAGGAGAGAATAAAACTAAGTAAAGATGAATGATAAGTTTCTGGAGACAATATAGAGGCAACAACTCTCAATCTAGTGAAGATTATAGTGCTGAATATTGTACAAATATGTGACGAGACAAGCGTTTAACCAATACATTAACGAACAACTATTATCACATCTTGAAAGAACTCAAAACCTCCAATACAGAACTAAGCAAATTTTGAAACAGGGGAAAAAGTGTAATGATGTTTACGTAGCACTACAAGATATCTCCTACCTGTCTAACACGTATTAATTCCATCCTTGCAATCTTTTGTCAAGTTGTAAAATGTCTCAACCCGTGATTTTGCTCGAACAAGGACCTCTGTGTCAACTTCAACTCTCATATACCCGTCAAATTCAACTGGGCGACCATTGTTTAGTTGCGTTGTTTCATTATACCACTCACTTGTATTACTCCACAAGTAGTTATAATCATCAAGCAAGTGCACCTTGTAGTGAGATCTAAGCTTATCAAAATAATTATAGAAAGGCTCGTTTGTGGCAACATACAGATTCCTCCAAGGTGTAATAATACCTTGAAGCTTTGCCACAAGGGCATCGGGGGATGTATCAGCATCCAGGTGGGGCCATAACTTCTTATTCTGTGCTTTCTCCCCACGAATAACATGAACAGCATCAAAATCCCAGTCCATGCTTCCACTAATCTCAGTTACTATATTCATCAATCTCTTTGATTTCCACAACGCCTGCCACGGTCTCTGGATGTATTTTGCAGACGGCCCTTCACAGACCCGATACCAATAATTCTCTGGTTCAGGGGCGTCAAATTGCCTCCATATAATTGTGCTCATATCCTTCGTTAGTTCCAAGGGGGACACTTTGTAGTCCTTAACCTTTCGTACGGAGATTTTCTTCTTATGCGTCTTATCCCATTTCTTCCAATCTTTAAGGAAGTCTCCTTCCTCGACGATGGATGCAGTCTCTTTCAAATGTTCAAAATCAAAATAGAACCTAAAGTCTTTTCCCTCCTCATCTTTATGACTACGAGTATGAGAAGCTGCCAAGCAGATACTCAAATCCATAACGAACGTACGATTCAAGTACTGAGCCTCGCCCAAAGCACATAGAAAACTCCATAAGTACTGGTTCATTCCTTTACAGTAATCACCACCCCGTGAATAGTACAAGTATCTCCCGTTCTTGAAAGCTGAATCTGGTCCCAAGATCGGAATTGTATCATTGATCTCCTCATCCAGAACAGGTGGAGCAATTTTAGCCTTCGGGCTAGTTCTAGTGGAATTAACACGGAGTCTTGGGCGACGGGCATTTACTCCTGAATGCCAGCGACCTGCGTGAACCACTTTGTAACTACAATCATCAGTAAACCCAATCCTAAACCTCCGGAAATCCCTGTACTTTCTCCAAGATCTCTCTTTCTTGTTTCTGAACCTCCACGCCACATCACACTCAGTCGGCTTCGATCCATTAACAGGAGCTCGATAGTCCAAAAACGCAATGGACTTAAAGGTCTTTAAGTTAAACCTCTGAATCGTGATCAAGATCCGAGGATCGGAACAATTCACTACAGTCACATCCTCACATCCTGATTTCAAAGTCACATTGGGCAGTTTCTCTTCAGATTTCTCAATAGTAGCTTCGGTAATCGGCACTAAAGGAAAAGCTCCAGCAGGAGCTGACATGGGAGTAGTGGCAACATCTTCACCAGTTTTTAGGACAGAATTATCAATTTTGAATGTCGCATTTTCGACTTGGGTGAAAACTCTAGTTAAAGCTCTAGAAGATTCCCATGGATCAGGTGGTTGGTATGTAATAGCAACTACAGTAAATATAAGCACAGAGAATACAAAAACTGAGAAACACACATTGCTTATAACTTTTATCAAGTTTTGCCCAATTGGGTCAGATGTTGAATTCAATTCCTTCATTTCTACAAAACTCTTAAGTCTCCAAATCAAATGCAAATCATCTAAACAAAGTATCAAGAGTAAGCTAAAAAAGAGATTTTTAGGACAAAATCAAGATAATGGCTTACTCACCTCTAATCTGAAAAACTGACCCTTTATGCAAAATTACAAAATCAACAATAAAAATTGAATCTTGGGGTTGATAAGCACTGAAAACCTCAAATTTCAGATGCAGAAAAGATTGGATCTTGGAAAAAATTTAATCTTTTTTGACGATAAATTGGGTACGAGAGGGTTAAAATCTTAGTTTTTACAACTGGGGTTTGAGTGAAAAATTGGATCTTGAATTGGGTTTGTATAGAAAGAGAGGTTTTTGAGAAATTGGAAAAGGATTTTAATTGATCTGAGCTTAATAATGGGGATTAAACAAGCAGAAAATTTGAAACAGATCTGAGAAGGATTTGATATGATAAATCCTGTGTCTTTACTCTGAAGGCTTTAGGACTTTAGCTATAGAAAATTGAGATTTTCTTCTTCTTTCCCTTTTTAATTACTCCCTCCGTTCATACTTGTGGTCTTAAAATTTTAAATATAAAAAGTTTACAAGATCATGACGCTATAAAATTTTTTTATTAAAGATAAATGAATAAAATAAAAAAATTTAAAATTAAATTATTTTTAAATTTTAAAATATGTCATTTATTTTGAAACAAATTAAAAAAGAAATCATTTCATTTTACATGAGAGAAGGAGGGAGTAGCTTTTTTCTTTTTCTTTTTTAAGTTAGATTAATTACTACTGCTAGTTTGTCGTATTGCTGTATGAACAACAGTTAAGTGAGCTGTCACTTTGGACTCTGGTTGTTTGAGTGCTATGTCAGCAAGAAATGGGACCCACGTAGGAGAACTGTCTGAAAGTTATTTTTAGCACAAACAAAAGAGAAAAAAGAAAAAGAAAAAGAAAAAAAGAATATTGGAATTCAATTTCCATCAATTTTTTTATCTTCTTTTATTGTTATTAGCTAATATTAGTCAATTAGCTATTTGTAGCAAAAAAAATATGTCAAATTTTTATTTTCTTTTGAGTTGGTATTATTAGAATACATTGGGTACATCTTAAAGAGCTTGAATCTCAGTTTTGGGATGATTTGGTGGAGGTTTGAGGTGGTTTGAATTAAAAATTTGAAGTAGAAGATGAACATAAAAAATGATGTATATCACACTGTGTATCACATATGTGTCATATTTATATCAAATGTGTATCACATGTATATCCATGCACCGGTGTGTCAGATAGATGTGTGATACATGTGTCGCATAAGAATTTTTTGAACTCGATTTTAACTACGAAATTTGATACCAAATCAGTCCAAATCATTTTCAATCTTCCTCAAATTTTGTATATTGACTCACTTANATATATATATATATATATATATATATCATCTTATTTGCTATCTTATCCATAAAATTTCCTTTCCGTCTTGCATCTAATGTTGCTTAGCACGCTTAAAAATATGGAAGGAGATCTTTGCATGTGATTCTTTGAGAGAAAATACTTTATTTATTTGGATTTCTAATTTTTATATATGCTTGACTAGTTTTGATAAGTCTATCATTAATGACTAGAGGTTGGTAAATTGGGACTTATTTGGAACATTTCTGTAAGTTTCCCATCTAAGACTGTATTGTGGTCCGGGACTGAGAAAACAGGCCGGTCCTAAGCGGTCCTAGGAGCCCACTGTGGACTGGTCCTCCATATTGAGACCGTGATCCCGGGACCGGCTGGCGGGCCTGGTCGGTTCAACCGGGCCCAATGACTATTTTTCAAAAAAAAAAAAATTAAATTGGCCAACGGTTGGAAGTTTAAAAACTAGCCGTTGGACTGCCAATTTAGTCGTTTGGCTTTTTAAAAAATAGCTATTTGGCCACCAAACTTTGTTTTAACCCCAAACTTTTTATAATTACACTTTTTTCTTATTCTCAACTATAAATATCCTCTTATTTTTTTATTTTTACTCACAAAATCATCAATCTCTCTCTAATTTTTTTCTATAATTCCTTACTTTATTATTGCAATTTGTGAAAAATTGTGAAGGTGGTGAATTAAAGTATCCAAGTCTTCAACGATATACAATTTTCAAGAAGTTGTTCGTCAATTCGGTAAACTCGTTCCAACTCTTAAGTTTTAATATTATAGTTTTGTTTGTTTTGTTTGTATAATTATAATTAATATGGCCTTTTCTTTGAAAAAAAATGTTTGGTGGTAAGGGAAAATCTAAAATTGGTGAATCTAGTGGCCAAGCTACTACTCCTCCCCGGGCTTCCCGACGCAGACCTGTTACCCGTCCTCCTCCACCTATTATTCTTGATAGTGATAACCCTTGTTTTCAATTTACCGATAGTCAATTTTGCCATGATATTGCACCAGGTCAACAATTAAATGATAAATACATGAATGCTCTTTATGGTAATCAAACTATCGATGAAAATGATGAGGAAAATGAAGATTTAGATGAAACGCAACCGGATTTAGATGATACACCTACTAGTCCTATTGTTAACCCAACTGATAATAATCCAAATGATGCCCCGCCTGACCCTCTTGTAGTAACCCCTACTTTTAATAGACAACCTTCTAGACGGTGCAAAACATCTCTTGTTTGGCACCTTTTTACTCAACTAAGAGATCAAAATAAGGCTAAGTGTAAAACTTATGGGACTTTGATGGCTCATAAATATACTGGAGACCGTAGCGGTACGAGTACTTTGGCTAGACACATAAAGACACACCCTAGAGATAAAGCTAGATTTATTCAAATGAAAGCTGCGCAAGAGGGG